ATGATTCACCTAAGGCTGCACAGCAATCTAGAACTGGAACCCAGGTTTACAAATCTAAACTCCCTCCACGGAATCTCCTGTGCCTGTTGAATAAACACATGTTCGTTGCGTGTCTGTTTCATACTTACCCTGAATGGACACTAATGTGGACAAGAAAAGTACATTATATGCAGGTTGTCCATAAAGTCACAAGGTCTTTGCTCTGCAGAAGGTCACTGCCTAGTGGGCAAGTACATGTACCATCCCCTCATTGCTTGACTTGGTGTGAATGGCGCCCCCTGGAGTTGTGCAATGTGATAGGCCTGGTTAGACCAATAACAAAACAGGAAGCAATTTAGTAAGTGCTAATTGTGCACAAAGTGCCATGGGAACACAGAAGGCATGATTCATTCTACCAGGGAAGGGAATCCAGGAAGGCTGCCCAGAAGAGGTAACACCTGAACAGGGCCTTGAAGGATATATAAAAGAACAAAAGGCAGAAGAAGATAATGTATCTATTCATCTCACAAAAATTTATGGAACCACTCCCAGTTGGCAGGAACAGATGGAGACTTCACAGTCCAGTAGGAGAAATAGACAAACCACTAATAATTGTCACAATCGTGGAAACATGTTCACAGTACAAAAGTGACAATAACTCCCGGAGAAAGCGCCTGAAGAAGTCATAGCTGAGATTTCTGAAAGATAATAAGAAATTCTCCAGGCTGATAATAAAGGAGTTGGGAGGAAGGGAAAAGCATTCCTAGCAAAGGGAATGGCATGTGCAAAGTTTCTGAGTCTTGAAAGATCCTTTTGTCATCAGGCACCCACAGCAGACCTGAAAGGCCTGAGTGTAACATGTGGGAGTGGTGGGCAACCAGGCAGGAGGTGGAGTTGACATACAGGCTTTTGGGCAAGACCTACCAGGTTTCCGGATGAATGGGGAAGCGGCACTGGTGAGCTTCGAGATAGACAGTAGGTTTAGCAACCTTCTCTTCAGAGCAGCACCCCAGATTGAGAGCTGGAAAAGTGTGAGCCACAAATCCCCAGCTCCTCCCACTGTGCCCAGCACTGCAGAGCTGAGAGTCTCCACCGGCTCTCCAGTCACACCACTGCGACCCCAACTAATCCAGCCTCCTGGCCCATCTGACACACACTTCCACTTAACATTTTGTTAGCGACTCTATAAACGAGCTCTCCCTGACCTTCAATCCCTGGCTAATTGCTGGTTTCATGTACAAGACTAGCTTAATTTTACGTGATAATTACCTGAGAGTGGCAATACATATGGCATTGCATGTTCGAAATGTCAGGCCTGGAAAACTATGAAGTGGCTGTAGTCAGGGGCAAAGGGAGGAGATAGCTGGGGGCCACGAGGGGAGACACAAAACACCCAGCACAGAGAACTGGGGCCCTGACCACAGTGGGGCCCAGAATCCTCTACTGGCACAGTGCACCGAGGGGCCCAGATCAAAGGAGCAGCACGTGATTTTCTCAGTCACACATGCACACATGCACAACTTGGAGAAATAGACCAGGTCAGAGGCGTGGCTCACACATGCTCCCAGTCATCCTTTCGACAAAGGCTCGCTGAACCCAGACTATGTGCCAGGCAGTGTGTAGGCACTTGCACTGGCTTCAAACCCCACCCCACCAGGAGGGGGATGTAAAAACATGAGGAGACATATTTGGGTTGTCACAATTATTTGGGGTATGTGGCAGGCACTGAATAAGCAAGGAACGCAAAATGGGCTGCACAGTTTAATTCAATAAAGAATCAGCCACCCCAAATGCCTGTGGTGGCCCCGCTGACACACCCTGTTGAGAAGCCTCACAGCTAAGGAAGGGCCACAGCCAAAAAGAAGCGGAGTGGCCTCCATTATCTTGGAACTTACAGTTGAAGAAGGGCATTGACAAGGGATTGTAACATATGAGAGGAGAGTAATAAAAGGGAGCTCAGGAACATGCAGCAGATGAGCTGGCAGAGGCCAGGGTTCAGAAAAGACTTCCTTTAAAAAGTGCTGTCTTAGGATGCTGAGGTCGGGGAATCACTTGAGCCCAGGATGTTGAGGCTACAGTGAGCTATGATTGCACCACTGCACTCCAACCTGGGCGACACAGCAAGATTCTGTCCCTAAAAAAAAAAAGTAAATAAAAAAAATGTTTTAGGTGCTGTGAAAGAACTAAGCCAACACTTCGGGAGGCAGAGGCGAGACGATTGTATGAGCCCAGGGGTTTGAGACCAGACAGACACAATAGGACTAAAATGACATGATCCCATTTACATAAAGTACAAGTACCTCATCAAATTCATAGAAGCAGAAGTAGAATAGTGGTTGCCAGGGACTGGGGGAGGGAAGAATGAGGAGTTACTGCTTAATGAGTACAGGGTTTCAGTTTGGAATGATGAGAAAGTTCTGAAGATGAAGATGTTGATAGTTGTACACCAATGTCAAATGTACGTAATGCCACAGAACTATAACTTAAAATGATGAGAATGGTCAATTTTATGTTATGCATATTTTGCCACAATTTTTTTTTTCTTTTGAGTTGGAGTCTCACTCTGTTGCCCAGACTGGGAGCGGCCACCGCAGCCTCGACCTGCTGGGCTCCAGCAATCCTTCCGCCTCAGCCTTCCAAGTAGCTGGAACTACAGGCGCACGCTACCACGCCCAGCTAATTTTTTGATTTATTGTAGAGATGAGGTCTTGCCAAGTTGCCCAGGCGGGTCTCAAACCCGCGGACTCAGGCAATCCACTCACCTCAGCCTCCCAAGGCGCGGGATTACAGGCTGAGTCACTGAGCCCGGCTCACAACTTTTTTTTTCAGTCAGGGTCTTACTCTGTCACCCAGACTAGAGAGCAGTGCCACAATTATGGCTCATTGCAGCCTCAAATTCCTGGGCTCAGGTGATCCTCCTGCCTCAGCCTCCTGAGTAGCTGGGACTACAGGTACCACCCCCAGTTAATTATTTTTATTTTTATTTTTGTAGAGACAAGGTCTCACTATATTGCCCAGGCTGGCCACATTTTTTTTTTTTTTTAAGTTGGGGGTCTCACTCTGTCACTCAGGCTGGAGTGCAATTGCATGCTCACTGTCACCTCAGCCTCAGTCTCAGGCTATCCTTCCACCTCAGCTTTCCAAGTAGCTGGAACTACAGGCATGTGCCACCACACCTGGCTAATTCTTTAATTTATTGTAGAGATGAGGTCTCACCAAGTTGCCCAGGCTGGTGTCGAACCCCTGAACTCAGGCAATCCTCTTGCCTTGGCCTCCCAAAGTGCTGGGATTACAGGCTTGAGCCACTGTGCCTGGGCCATGGTCACAATTTGTATTTATTTTTATTTTTTATTTTCCTGCCTCTGCCCCCACAATTTTTAAAAGTGGCATTGCAGCTGCATTCTGAAGGATGGGCAGGACACAACTCATTTATTCATTCACTACACAATAGTTGAGCAGCACCGGTAACACACAGACTTGGAAGAATTTCTATCTTCTGCATCCCTGGTTGGATGAATGAGGCAAGGTCTCTGCCTCACAGTTACTTCCATCCAGAAGGCAAAAGAGACACATCTCTCTAGTAAACAGTTGCATGAGTCCAAAGAGCAGGAACAATAGAACTCAGCAGAAACACGCCAGGTGGGAGGCAGTGTACCAGGAGGTCGCAGGGGGTGAATGCTCTGTGGAGGAGAGGCCGAGACACGATTCTGAGAGGCAGGCAGCCCTTGGACAGGCTGAGGTGGGTGTTCGAGGCATTCTAGAAACTGCCTCTGTCCCCAAAGCACCTTGGGGAAAGGAGCTGTTTATTAAAGAAAGGAAGACCTGCTGTATTCCGCCACACTCCCAGTGCCTAGAACCGTGCTTGGCATGAAGGTGAATTAATACAGAATGGTGTCAGTGTATCTCTGCACCACGGGCCACACACCTGTGTGCCCGCATGCTCAGGTGCATTTTTTTCCTCATCACTCCAGGGAACAGAGCAAGGCAGTCAGGGCCCAGGGCGCTATGGTGGGACAGGGGAGCACAGGCAATAGAGAAAGGGTGCCCCTTGCCACCTGGGAGCACCCTTCCATGGGAGGCGCCTGTGCCACACACTCAAATGCACACAGTCCACAGGATCAGGTAAGAGGCACAAACCCCAGATGAAGGTGAGTTTATAAACCCCTTTAGCCTCCTCACCCATGGAATTGTGGACTCCTGAGCTGTGTTGGAGTAAATTACTTGCTTAATGAGATTTCAATTAACAAAAACAAATTAAAACCACTTTGGTAATTAAACTGTTGTGAACCTCGCCAGCAGCTCTCCCTCAGACCTCAGATTTCCATGGGGAAGGATTTGGAGATGGGGGTCCACCTGGACCTGGGCAGCAGTGCTGCCGGGGCCTAAGCAGAGCAAGGAGCTCCTGCCTTGGGAATTCCACCCCAGGAGCCACAGCTTCTGGAAGCCCAAGGTGGATGGGAGGGAGAGGGAAGTACAAGGCTGGCAAAGAAGTTGCTAAACTTCTATTCAAATCGTGGCCTTGCAACCTAGAGCACATTCATTAATCTGTCTGAGCCTCAGTTTCCTCATCTGCAAAGTGGAGATAATAATAGTACCTACATCACTAGGTTGTGGAAAGGTTAGATGAATGAATGCATGTAAGGATTTAGAATCAGGCCTATCCCACAGCAAGGAAACTTAACTCACTTGAGTGCTATAGGGGACTTTTCCAGCCTGGCAATTTGCATTGAACCCCAAACACCTCCAGGGCAGCCCTGTTTCTCTGAATTAGGCGAATGAGGCTCTACTGTAGAGGGTCCTATGAAGGTGAGGCTTCTCCAAGTTCTGTCCCACCCAGGGTCCCATCTCTTACCACCAGAGCCAGAAGCTCAAAACTGGGAACAAATACTCCTGCCCCTGGGTTACAATATCACTTCCATTCCCCACATGAGTGACCTAGAGAGGTAAGTAGTGCTGGCATCACTGGCCTAATTCTACAGACAAAAACGACTTCATGACTTACCTCGTGGTTGGAAGAAAGGAGAAGCCATGCCCGGTGCAACCCGAATACGAAGAACCCACCCTCACATCCACTGCTGATGGAGCCTTTCTGGAGAGCTCAAAACTGAACAGCTGTATAAAACATTCAAAAGATTAAGATTTGAGATGAATTTTTGGTGTGTTTTTAAAGTTTGTAGCACTTATACTTTTGAAGTCATTGAAGCAAAAAGTACACTAAGCCTTTTGGGACTGCTATATATTTGTTATATACATTTCCTTTATATATAATATGTTTTATTTATAGATAAGATAGAGATATGGATATAAACATAGATGATATAGATATATACATGCACATACATACACAAACACCTACCAAATGTTGTTTTTCTCTGTAGTGGTAGAAATTACAGATGGTTTTGTTTGACGTGTTCATTCGTGTATGCAAGCAACAAATTCGTGTATGCAAGCAACAAATATTTTTAGCATCCATGAAGTACCACAATGGACAAGACAGACGTGATCTCCACCTTCAGGAGACTTGTAGCCTGTTGATGGAGAGGGACACTGGACATGAAACAATAAGGTGAGAGCTCTAGAAGAAGAAGGACAGGGCCTTGGAAGCCTATTACAGAAGGAGGCAATGGTGGGGGAAGGGGCTATCCACAATAAACATTTATTTATTTTATAACTGGACTAAAATTAAAACAATTTCTATATTTTTAAATGAATCTCAAGGGTCCTGTAACTAGTTAGTAACAGAACTGAAGGTAGACCCAAAGCCTTCTGGCTCACAGGCGGTTTTTGTTTTTGTTTTTTTAAATACCATGGGAGGTTTGAACAGCATCCCAATCTTGAGTAAAAAAATCTCAAAAAAAAATCTCAAAGGAGATGTCTGACAAGGCATCTCATGCCAGATAGAGAAGGTATCCCCATTTACACACACCATGCCAGATGGAGGAGGTCTTGTGCATACATGCACACAAACACACACCCCATGCCAGATGGGACCAGGTATCTTACCACCTCTCTCCTCAGAGGAGGAGTCCCCAACATTGCTTGGTCTCAGTGGCCTCAGTCTCCCAGCCAGCTGCCCTCTAATGCTGTTTCAACCCATCCCATCTCTGTCTATCATCGGGCCAAGGGGAGACCATCTCAACACCCAGAACCTCCCACTGCCGGCTCCCTCCCATCCTTGGGAAGTGCTAATCCTGCAGGGCCCTTTTCCTGCAGACCCCTGTGCCCTGGGGAAGGTGAGGGAGGTACCACCTCTAAGCACCCAACCTCGGTGAAGGTTACTGAAGCTGTGGTGCCCTCCACCCTGAGATGCCACCTGACATGATGTGTGTTCCTCCTCTCCCTTCTCCAGACTTTGGATATCATCTTTTGTGCTGACTTCAGACAATCAAGGGAGGAGGACACAGAGTTGTACTTTCCAAGTAGCTGGCAACCCTTAATCAATGTTAATTGGCTCTAATTAGCATATGTTAATTAATGATATTTACTACAAATTAAAGGTATGAGTGCTCCCAGAGGGTTTCCTGTTCATCCAATTAGTGCCAATTAGTTGCAATTAACACGTGTAAATGAGATTCCATTGAACCCAAAACAAACAGCCCAGAATCTCTCAGATTTCCCCCTGCACCTTTTCAGCCAGCCAAGGGGGGAAGGGGAGTTTAAAGTGTGGGAGGTGAGGAAGTGAGGGGAGAGGGAGCTAGAAAAATACTCCTGGGCTGACCTCCTGCAGCACGATGCTGGCTCTTCAAGCACTGGGAATGAGAGGTGGCAAGGCCAAGTTGGGCCAAGCAAGCTCCTGGGTGTGCCTGGCTGCCCTTGGCTGCCCTCAGAAGGGCCCTGACCTTGAGATGCTCCTGAGGGCTGAGGCCATCCCTTGGGCATCCCTGAACCTACCAGGGCTTAACCCAGTGCATGGCATATAATAGGTTCTCAGTAAAAGTTGGCTGAATTAAAAGTTGGTTCCAGCCAGGCATGGTGGCTCATGCCTGTAATCCCAACACTTGAGAGGCGGAAGTGAGAGGAATGCCTGAGCCCAGGGTTTGAGACCAGCCTGGGCAATTTGGCAAGATCTCATCTCTACAGTAAATTTTAAAAATTAGCCAGGTGTGGTAGTGTGCACCAATAGTCCCAGCAATTTGAGAGGCTCAGGCGGAAGGATCGTTTGAGCTCAGCAGTTCAAGGCTGTGGTAGCTATGAGTGTGCCACTGTACTCCAGCTTGGGCGACAGAGTGAGACTCTGACTCAAAAAAAAAAAAAGTTGATTCCTTTGTATCAAGGTCCAATATCTTTAAATGTATAAAAGTAAAGACTATACTGATTTTTTTTAAATACAATGTACTCTTCTCTGTAAGTTCTCCCCAAGGAGTACACCAAGGAGAAAGACAGTATTTGCCTTGATGCCATAATTTTAATATAATCTGTATATGTCTACAGAGATTTTACTTCACTGCTACTGTTGCCATTTCTAACTTTATTTCTTTTTTTTACTCAACTACTATCTGAGACCCAAACCTATGTCGTGGACAGAGAAACAGCCAGAGGAAGCTACCGTGAACAATAAAACGCTGCCCCAAATTCTCCACCACACAAAACCTTCTGTGAAACTGTGGTGTAAGATACAGCTACCAATAACCTGTTTACTCCTACTCCTAACTTTTGCTACACCAAACTTTTCCATATAAAATTGACATTCATTATTTTAATATATTGATTGTTCACAGCATGCCAGGCACTGTTCCCGGGTCTGGGGATACAATAGTGAACAAAACATCTGTGAACCCTGGCCCTCAATACTCCTGTGAGTATTATTATCCTCCCTGCTGGGGTTTTTATTTATCTAGAGTCAGAGAGAATTTGGTTCATATCCCAGTCCTGCTACTGAGCAACTGCGAATGAAGGCTATTTAATCTCCTGGGCCTCTGTTTATTTATCTGTAACACGGGTATAATAATACTGTCTTAGCCAGGCTCGGTGGCTCAGCCTGTAATCCCGCGCCTTTGGGAGGCTGAGGTGAGTGGATTGCCTGAGCCCACGGGTCCGAGACCCGCCTGGGCAGGCGAGACCTCATCTCTACAATAAAATTAAAAAATTAGCCGAGTGTGGTAGCGCGCACCTGTAATTCCGGCTACTCGGAAGGCTGAGGCGGAAGGACCACCGGAGCCCAGCAGGTCAAGGCTGCGGTGGCCGGGAGCGGCCACTGCACTCCAGTCTGGGTGACAGAGTGAAACTCCAACTAAAAAAAGATAAATTAATAATAATAATAATACTGTCTCATAGTTTGGCTGGGCATGGTGGCTTACGCCTGTAATTCCAGCACTTTGAGAGGCTGAGGCAGGAGGATTGCCTGAGCCCAGGAATTCAAGACCAGTTTAGGCAACATAGTGAGACCTCATCTCTGGGAAAAAAAAAAAAATTAATTTAGCCAAACCTGGTGGTGCATGCCTGTAGTCCCAGCTACTTGGGAGGCTGAGGTAGAAGAATTGCCTGAGTCCAGGAGGTCAAAGCTGCAGTGAGCCATGATTGTGCCACTGCACTCCAGCCTGGGTGATAGAGTGAGACCCCGACTTAAGTAATAATAATAATACCTAACTCACAGTCATATTACTGGGACGATTGTGCTCTTTCCTTTTCCCCATTCCTTGATGTGGAATATTTTGGAGTTAAGCCACAAGGAAGGTAGGAAAGAAGGAGGTAAAAGCCAGCCACTCATTCTGAACCCACCAAGGAAAGTGTGATGAAGTCATCCCCTCTACACCTGGATGAGCTCTTCAGGTTGACCACAATGGTCCTCCTACTGTGCTACAGAGTTACAAAGCTATTGCACAACCAGCCCCCCACCAAATTCTCATCACAGGGCAGAAAGGAAGTGGATTTAGAAAGGGGAAGTGGTTCCCAGGTCCCATGGGGCTGGAGCCCAGACCTTGGACTCCTCCTAGCATGTCCTCCTTCATCCATGTGGCCTTTCTGAGTGATGAGAGATGGAACTGGGGTCCAGAAAGGTCACCCAACTGACCAGAAGCAGGGATTGTCTCACTCATGCCAAGAGCCAAGACGGACCTTTGCACATCAAGGTTCCAGGGCTCCTTCAGCAGGGCGAGCTTGCCTCCAGGTAGGAGCTCACAGCATTCCACCACCTCAACACTGCTCCCACCCATGGGACCTCGCGCAGGGTGTTGGATCAATTCAAATTGCCTTGGTGTCCCCTTCTATAAAGTAAGGGAGTGTGCAGAGATGACTTTTGGACCTGACATTCCAAGATTTTGGAAGCCCTCTGTAGAGTTCTGGTCCCCTTCTATAGGATATGCCCCGACATTCTCAGCTGACGGGCAGTCACAGAAAGCATTGGTTTTCCTCTTTCTTTAGGGATCTCCCCCATCTGTGGAGGCCTCATGGGTCCCACCCACACTCAGTGCTTTCTCAGTGAATTCTACATCATCTTCCACCCTCACCCTGATCTTCTCTTGGATAGTAATGAGCCACCAGACATGGTCTCCAAGAGATCTAGTTCAGAAAAAGTTCTCCCTTACTCTGATCAGACCAAAGTCGATTTGGAGGCCAGAGGAAGGAATGGAGCAGATGGTGTTTAATAAAAAGCACTCACCGGGTCATCTACAGGGAGGTGGCATGCAGCTGTGGACTGGACATCTATACTGGGACCTCTTGGGGCTCAGTATTTCTTTCCTACCACCGCACCCCATCCCAGGGCCAGTGGGGCATGGTGGGTAAGGGGGTCTGGGAGCAAGTGGAAAAGACCCTCTTTTGACTACCCTTCCAGTAAAAAATAAAACCACTACCCCATGCTAAGACGTTTACTTGAGTTATTTCCACTTGGAGGAAGTAGCATTTGCTCTGTTTTCATCTCCAGGTGTCATGGGCATCTTGGGCTGAGTCTGGCAAGCTTTGAGACTGATGATTAGCCAATTTGGGCCACAAAAGATAGAGCAGGAAGGTTGCAATAAATGATGAGGAAAGTGTTGCCTGCTGTGTACCCCCAACCAGCAGACACACACACACACACACACACACACACACACACACACACACACACACACACTGCACTCCTCTCCTCTCTGTTAGCAAGATGAAGGCTGGCACCACCAGCCTGGGCAGAGGATAGATTAGATCTGGGGAGAAGAGGCTGCCACTAAGAAGGCTGGGTGTGGCCAGATGTGGTGGCTTGTATCTGTAATCACAACACTTTGAGAGGTTGAAGTGGGAGGACTGGTTGAGCTCAAGAGTTCAAGATCAGCCTGAGCAACATAGCAAGACCTCGTCTTTATGAAAAAAAATAAAAATAAAAAAATTACCTGGCCATAGTGGCATGTGCCTGTAATCCCAGCTACCTGGGAGGCTGAGGCAGAAGGCTCACCTGAGCCCAGGAGGTCAGGGCTGTGGCAGCCGTGATTCTGCCACTGTACTCCATCCTGGGCAACAGAGTGAGACCTTGACTCAAAAATAAAAAAAAATTTAAAAGGCCAGACACGGTGGCTCACGCCTATAATTCCAGCACTTTAGGATGCCAAAATGAGAGGATTGCCTGAGCCCACATGTTTGAGACCAACCTGGGCAACTTGGCAAGACCTCATCTCTACAATAAATAAATTAAAAAATTAGCTGAATTGCCTGAGCCCGCGGATTTGAGACCCACCTGGGCAACTTGGCGAGACCTCATCTCTACAATAAATCAAAAATTAGCTGGGCATGGTAGCGCATGCCTGTAGTTCCAGCTACTTGGAAGGCTGAGGCGGAAGGATTACCTGAGTCCAGCAGGTTGTGGTGGCCAGGAGCATGACATTACACTCCAGTCTGGGCGACAGAGTGACTCCAACTAAAAAAAAAAAAAATTAGCTGGGCATGGTGGCATGCACCTGTAATTCCAGCTACTTGGAAAACTGAGGCGGAAGGATCGCCTGAGCCCACGAGGTCAAGGCTGCGGTGGCAGTGATCATGTCACTCCAGCCTGGACAACAGAGTGAGACTCCAACTCAGAAAAAAAAAAGGCTATTTTTTAAAAAAAGGAAAGAAAATAAAAGAAAGGCTGGGTGTAAAAAAGCCAGGGATACCAAGAAGAGCAAATTCTCAGTTTCAAGGACATGAACATTGTCTCCAAACAGTCAATTCTGGGTACCCAGGAAGCTTTATGATAGAGAAAAGGGACACTGGTGAAGTGTCTGTTTTTTATTCCATTAATGCCTCTTGAGAAGTGATATCTCTCTAAAGCCAAAGTTCCTGAGATGAGGCTTAACATGACCACTTTGGAAGAAAAAAAGTCCTGGGCTCCAGGAATGTAACAACAGAAAATAATTAAGGTCTAATAAGGTCAGTGTTCCACCTTAACACCTTTTCAGTTCCAGTTAAAACCTCTACTAATTTGCCAAGAAAAACCAGCCTCACTTGGGTCTTATTATTTGAATCACGTCCTGTCTCTTAATTTAAACAAGAGACTCACATAAGGATTTTTTTTTTTTATCTTAAATTACAATGCCGACTTTCTTCCAGTTGATTACGGTATATGACTCTCTGTTGGAAGGCCATTATTTTTTGCTATGATTTACAAAGCATTTAAAGTGAAATCAATGTAATAAATATCGAAGTATTGTAATAGATAATTCCATATATTTAACCAGAGACACAGCACCGCCCTGGTTTGGGCAGTCAGGAGGGGGGGATGGGTGGAGGGGCCACCTGGTATCTACTCTTTTCTTCTATACTCACTGAGCCAGGATCCCCTGAGCCCTGCCTAAGTCTCTGCACACTGGACTTGGGGGCTGTGGGGATTATGGGGTGCCCAGGATGTGTCTTCCGGGAGCCATGGACTGTTTGAAGAAATCCCCCTGCAACAGCCTGCTAGTAAGCCCTGGAGGCCAGTGTGGGCAGGAGGCCACCACCAGCATCATGTAAGGAGCGTGATGGGGAGGAGTTCGACTAAGGGAGGACAGGGAGGGGGCAGGTCAGGAAAGGTCTTCCCTAGCCTCTCCACCTTTCTTCTCCCCCTGCTTAATTCCTCCCCTCCCTCCCCTCCTTTATCCTCCTCTCATTCCTGTCTCTTCTCTCTCTGGACTGAGCTATCTCTAGACTTGTGGCTGCTGCCAGCACTTGCTGGACTCTCAACACAAACAGCCACGGTGAGCGGGGAGGTGGTGCCCAGTCTCCATCCACCCTCTGTACCTCTCCACCATGGCTCCCGGAAGACACATCCTGGGCACCTCATAATCCCCACAGCCCCCATGTCCAGTGTGCAGAGCCTTAGGCAGGGCTCAGGGGATCCTGGCTCAATGAATATAGAAGAAAAGAGAAGATACTACGTGGCCCCTCCACCCATCCCCCCCTCCTGACTGCCCAAACCAGGGCGGTGCTGTGTCTCTGGTTAAATATATGGAATTATCTATTACAATACTTCAATATTTATTACATTGATTTCACTCGTGCTCACTGCCAGGTACAGACGCTACAACAGTGTCTGTGATGCAGGTCAAACATGCCTGTCTGGGGGCAGGGTTCCTACCTGTGACCCCTGCATCTCCAGAAGGATGTAAGAGCAGTTCCTCTCCAGCTACCCCAGGATCTGCTGCCCCATGGTGAGCACCTCATCCCTCTTCTTCTGGCCTCAGAGTTTGGCACATGGATCACACAGCGGTTCCCGGGCAGCTCTGTTCCCAGGTTCCCTGCTCGATTCAGAAACTCATGCCCACCAGCGGGACGGCACACATGGGCCTCCAGCCCATGGGTTGGCCCGATAACACACCTCCAGTGCAGAGCATGTGCTCTGGCGGCAGAGTTGTTTTTTTGAGCACCGTGGGGACCCTAATAAGGGCATTGTGGACCAAATACACATGCACACACTCCTAGCGGATCCCAAAGACAGAAGATGTATCGTCCCTCGCCTTCCCACCCCAGGCCTGAACTCAAGCCCCAAGTCCCTAGCTCTGAACAGATTTCATCATAAATCCCAGGAGGGGACGGCGCAGAGGGAAAAGGAGCAGAGGAAGGAGATTTACAGCAAACTTACTTTCTGACACCTCTTTGGCCCATCCTATCAAATAACAATATCACCAGATAAATCACAGAGTCTCAGGGGAGCTTACCCTTGTCCTTGTAAGGTCATTGGAGGGAGTCGAGGGGCCACGGTCAGATCCACCCAGCTGGGTTCTCCATGACAACATCAATCCAGCTGGCATGAGGGGCTTTCAGATCTCATCCCTGGGATATGTATGGGGGGGGGGGTGATAGAAATAGAATAGGAGAGAAGAGCATTTGCTATCATCACCCAAGCGAAAGGATGGCATAAGGGATTCCTCACAGGCTTTCAGCAAATCCCAGCTCAAATTCCTAGCTGTGTGACCTTGGGCAAGTTGCTTAACCTCTCTGGGCCTTGGTTTATTTCTCTGTAAATGCAGGACATAGTGTATCCACTTGATAGGATTTGTGTACAGATTTATTGAGAATAATGTATGCCAAAGCTGACATATAGTAAGTATTTGGAATATGGGAACTATCATAGCCACAAGCGTTTTTCCTTACCTAGGATACAAAACACTGTGGCAATGTTCCCAGCAGAGGGAATCAAATGCGGGGCCCTCCAAAGAGAGACACTACACTGCCCCCTTCTCTGGGGCTGCTGTCTCAGCCTTAGTCTTCAAGGTTAGAAAAGCAGAGCTCCCCATTAACTTACAGCATGCCTGGAAGCAAGTTTCTTCCCCTCTCTAGGCCTCAGTTTCCCGTCTATAAACTGAGGGATGGAAAGCACTTGATCTTTAAGGTCCAGTCCATCATCACATGAAGTCCAACAGCAGGACCAATCCCACTAGTAACCAAAGGGGACAAGCAGGACCAAGATGCTACAGGCAGTAAGGCTAATTGAGCCTGCATGACTTGCAGACTGGGGTGGACTGTTATCATTCTGGGAAGGGACTGCAGGGCTCCATCCTGCCAGTCCTACAACTCCAACCATCCAAAATGAGAGATGTCTCTGATTGCAGCTTGGATAGCCACAGACATGGTCTGTGGCATCATATTGATTTTTTTTTTTTTTGAGTTGGAGTCTCACTCTGTCACCCAGACTGGAGTGCAGTGACCACTCCAGGCCACCACAGCCTCGACCTGCTAGGCTCCGGTGATCCTTCCGCCTCAGTCTTCCAAGTAGCTGGAACTACAGGTGTGCGCTACCACATCCGGCTAATTTTTTTGATTTATTGTAGAGATGAGGTCTCGCCAAGTTGCCCAGGTAGGTCTCAAACCCGTGGGCTCAGGCAATCCACTTACCTCAGCCTCCCAAAGCGCGGGATTACAGGCTGAGCCACTGAGCCTGGCACATATTGATTTTTATTTTTATTTTTTGAGTTGGAGTCTCACTCTGTCACCCAGACTGGAGTGCAATGGCACGCACTCCTGGCCACCACAGCCTTGACCTGCTGGGCTCCAGCGATCCTTTCACCTCAGCTTTCCAAGAAGCCAGAACTATAGGCATGTGCTACCATGCCTGGTTAATTTTTGATTTATTGTGGAGACGAGGTCTAGCCGAGTTGCCTGGGCGGATCTCAAACCTCGGGCTCAGGCAATCCACTCACTTTGGCCTCCCAAAGTACTAGGATTTCAGGCTGAGCTGAGCCGGCCTTTTTTTTTTTTTTTTTTAAGGAGATGGGCTCTTACTCTGTTGCCCAGGCTGTGGTGCAGTGGTGCAATCATAACTCACTGCAGTCTCCAACTCCTGGGCTCAGGCAATCCTTTCACCTCAGCCTTCCAAGTAGCTGGGATTACGGGCATGCACCACCACACCCGACTAACTTTTTAAAAAAATTTTTTGTAGAGATGGGGTCTCACTATGTTGCCCAGACTGGTCTCAAACTCCTGGCCTCAAGTGATCCTCCTGCCATGGTTTCCCAAAGTGTGGGATTATAACCTTCACAGGTAAGAAGGGCTGTGTTCCCAGAGGTGGGAGCTGGGTGGGTGGGGCTCCTCATACCTGGAGCCACCAGGAGCTTCCCTTCCTGCCTGGGGGTGGGGGGTGGGGCTCCTTCCCCAGTTCCTCCCAGCCCCCTCCTTCCCCTCCCTTCCACATCTTCAGCCTTTAAGGATGACTGACTCTGGCTCCAAGGAGAGTTCCCACCCCTCTGGCCTCCGCCCTCTCTCCCTTTATCCTTCCTTTCTTTCCAGCTTCTGGTCTTTGGTTTCTTCCCCTCTCTCCCTCCTCCTCCATTCCTCCCTTCTCCTCTTTCACTGCCTGTCTCTCTGTTTTATTTTTTTTTCTCTTCTCCCCTCTTCCTTTATTTCTTTTCCTCCTTCTGGTCCTTTTGCCTGTTTCTTCTCTTTGGGTCTGACTCAGGGGAATGGAGGTGGCTCTATCTGGAATGAGTAAGTGGAGGAGTAGTGGGGGGATGCTCTGGCCTGAGCCCCTCCAGTATCGCTCCAGCCACGGGAGGATCAGGAGTTCACCCGCAGGGCAGCTGTCAGTGGCTCAGCGGATGGATGAGTGAAAGTGTAGGGGGTGGGGAAGCGAAGGTGCTGGGGAGGGAGCTGTCTTTAAATAAAAATGAAAGAGGCATGGTGGGTGCAATAACAGGGGCTTTTTAAGAAGAAATCCCAGCCGGGCTCGGTGGCTCAGCCTGTAATCCCGCGCCTTTGGGAGGCTGAGGTGAGTGGATCACCTGAGCCCGCAGGTTCGAGACCCGCCTGGGCAGGTGAGACCTCATCTCTACAATAAATCAAAAAAATTAGCCAGGCGTGGTTGGGCGTGCCTGTAATTCTGGCTACTCAGAAGGCTGAGGCGGAAGGATCGCCGGAGCCCAGCAGGTCGAGGCTGCGGTGGCCGGGAGCGGCCACTGCACTCCAGTCTGGGCGACAGAGTGAGACTCCAACTCAAAAAAAAAAAAGAATAGGTCCCACCCAAGGCACATCTGCCAGTGGACCAGCCCTCCTGTCGGCCTCCCACCCATCCTGTACCCGGTCCGCATCTCTAAAGTTTTCCTTAGCACTGAGGGCCTGTTTGTTTCTCTGATCCTTTGGGTAGGCCAGAGAGCAGGTGAGCCCCCCACCCCCCTTCCTGCCCAGACTCCCACCCCAGCCTTCCCCATCTCCCACTGAGGGGCGGCTGGGATTGGGACCCCAGGCAACCTGCTCACAGAGTGATGTCTGGGCAGATTAGTGCCCCAAAGCTGGCAGGCCTATTAGGAGGCCTTTGTGGGGGAGGGGGTCAGGGGAGGAGAAGGGGATTTTCCATTCTCTGAGCAACTGGATTACACAGTCAGGGGATCAGGGGAGACCTGCTACTTAAGCTGCCTCTGCCCTGGCCCTGCTGCTCATGTTCTCAGCAGGGATCTTAGCAAGCCTTGCCTTGCCTGCTTTTGAGGTAGCTTTTTGTGACCTGAGTTGGGGTTGGTGGCAAAACCGAGTCTCATCTCCTCCTAATCTCCCCTGAACTATACTCCAAAAATGAGCTTGAGAGGGAATCAGCATGCCACCACCTTGGCTACCCATCACCCTCCAGGAGGACCCCAGGACTGGAGATGGATCTGGAAGGTGACTCAGAAAGGTGAAGTGACTTGCTCTGAGTCCGGCAGCAGGTAACCAAGAGCGTTATCTGACTCTGAACTGGACTGATGGGAGCATGCTCTCTGCAGAGTGAGCCAGGTCTACGCTGAGGACTGGAAGGACTGCTGTTCCCCTACAAGAAGGAGGTTTCTCCCCCAAGTTTTCCTCAGCCCAATATATGCTTTAGAGGGAGGGGAACCCTATTCCCATTAGGTCTCTCAGGCTGCAGAGGACCAGTCTATAGTGGATGGTGGAGAAGAGGGGAGATACAGAGGAGATTAGGCGTATGGAATCCAGAGTCTTAAAGCCTAGTCCCCCAGCCTTACCACTAACTTGCTGTGAGACCTTGAACAATCTACCTCCCTCTCTGAGCTTCAGTTTTCTTATCTGCAAAATGGAGATAAAACTATTTCTTCAGAATTGTGGGTTTTAAAAAAAATTTATTTTTGTAGAGACAAGGTCTTGGTACATTGCCCAGATACCAAATCGAACTCCTGTCTTCAAACAATCCTCCCAACTCAGTATCCCACCTTTGAAGGTGCCTGGGATTATAGGCATGAGCCTCTGTGCCTGGCCTCAGAATTGTTTTGAAGGCTGAATAAGACAAGGTATTGGAAGAGCATCAAGCTACTAGCTGCTTTATAGATAATACTGGAAACAAACAAGTTGTGTCCTGAGTGGAAGCAGAGTCTCTCACCCAGGAGCTATGCCCACTCCCCAGAGTAAGAGGTTCTGCTATACAGCCAGGCAACTGGCTCTTCCCACTGGGAGGGGAAATCCATCATATTCAGCAAAGATTGGCCTCCTCCACCTGGTGTAAGGTTATTGAGGGTCATGACCCCATACTTTGTGTCCACTTTCTAGACAGAATCCCCATACAAGAGGCCCAAAGTCCCCCATCCTAGCCCTGTGTAGCCCTAAAGACCTTTTGCTAAAAAGTGGTCATCTCTGACCTTTCTGATGGCCTATGCTCCTTCCAGCCAGAAAATGTCTATGATCCCGTGACCCCTAAAAGCCTTGCCTTGCTAATGGTTTTATGATCTTCCCTACAGAATTCCCTTTGCCCTCCCCACCCCAGCCCCCTTTCAGTAGGTCCTAGTCAAAATAAACAACATTTATGACCAGAGCAGGATTCAAGGTCTGCATTGCAAACAAATGCAGAGCTCTTTGAAGGTGCCTGGAGAATCCATCATATCCCGGGGTGTGATGCTCCCCAAGCCTGAGGGGAGGTGGGCTGCAGCCTGGGAAGCCAGGACTCTGGATCCGGGCTTAGAATCTGAGGAGTCTGTGCTGTCTCTGGGGCTCCCTCCTCAGCACCAAGCCCATCCTCCATGCCTCTCCTGCCCTGTGGGGGCCAAGACTCACTCTGTATGTCATTGGGGAAGGAGATAAAACAAAAGGGGGAGAAAAAAGAGGCAAACAGAGAAACAGGCAGCAAACAGGAGTGAACAAGAGGGTCAGAGCCCAAATTCACAGGCCCAGTTGCTAGTCCAGTGTTCAAGTGGACAGAGGAGCCCTGTGGTCATACTGGGATAATGTTCCTATAGAAAATGAATTCAAATGCCTGGGCAGGCCAGTGCGGCTAAAGAGAGGGAGGGAGACAGAGGGAAAGAGTGAGAAGCAGACTCGGCTCTGAGT